CTTTGCACGTTGTTAACCCACCTTGAAACCGGTGGGTTTAGTTGTTGGTTTGGGTTTGGTTTGGTGGGGTTTTGAAATCTCTCTCCTGGCTTTTGAATTGTTGCAGTAAGGAGGGAAAGATAATTAAAACCCCCAAAACCCAATGCACACCCCCCAAAACTCCATCTCCCTTCTTGCTGCTTGTTTGGATGAGGGGGTGATTTCATTCTGTCCCCTTGTTACATTACTATATCTCCCATCTGGACTGGGGTGGCCTTATGTCAGCTTGTGCATGTATACTTGGGATGCGGTGGGATGGGACGGGATAGGACGGGATGGGGTGGGATGGGATGGATGAATGGATGGTTTCAGCAGCTGTCGTCTTGGTGGTTACCATTTGCTTGACCTGGGTGGATTTAATCACATAGAGCAAAGGAAATGGGCTTTTATGAAAGAGGAAAATAAAATTGCAAAGGAAATAAAAAGGAAAGGTCAAATAGATTCTGGCATTAACTCTGCTCCCCACTTGCATTTGCCAACACATAGTACATAATGCATCAGTTTGGGACAGGGATGTACATAAACCTATATTTGAGCATGTCCTTGACCAATGAAGGACCATAGTGCATGGCTAAATGTTTTCTCAACATGGCCCAAATGCTCATGACCTATTTTGAGTGCAGTGTTGTGGGATGTCATCATGGAAGTGTGGTCAGCTGAGAGTCCTCAGATGCAGACCAAATGGATTTCCAATATTAGACAAAGAGAGAAATTAAAGCTCTGCCTTCCTTCTTGTGGTAGGATCTTCAGCATCATGGCTCTGGAAAGTGTGTGCAGATGAAAGTTAAATGGTAATAAAGAAGTTTCCTGTATTAGTGTTTCTCACTTTTGAAAGTGCAGTCTTCGAACAGGACATTACCAGTCCCTTCCCACAATGGACATAAGGTCTTCACCCAAAGCTGTCCTCACAAAGCACCTCTGCACCTCCTAGAGCACAGCCAGGCTCTAAATCTGGCATTGACTCCCATCTTCCTTCCTCCATGCCTATGTCCTCCTCTGATGGCATTCTTCTCACCCATGGTGACCCCAGATTTCAAACCCTGCTCCCAGCCCACTCTGCCATCTGCTGACCATCTCTTTGTTAGACATACAGTCCCCCTATACAATCTATAAGGTCCCATAACAGGACCTGCTTTCACCCATAGAGTCATAGAATCACAGAATGGTTTGGGTTGGAAAGGACCTTAAGACCATCCAGTTCCAACCCCCTGCCATGGGCAGGGACACCTCACACTAAACCATGGCACCCAAGGCTCTGTCCAACCTGGCCTTGAACACCGCCAGGGATGGAGCATTCACAACTTCCTTGGGCAACCCATTCCAGTGCCTCACCACCCTCACACTAAAGAACTTCTTCCTTATATCCAATCTAAACATCCCCTGTTTAAGTTTTAACCCGTTACCCCGTGTCCTATCACTACAGTCCATCCTGGAAGCAACTCCTACCCTCTGTTTTCCCAGGAATGAACACCTCAAGTGTCACCCAGAAGAATGTGTGTCCCTGTTTGGACAAGCGGATGCTGTTCTACTGCCTTTGCCCATTTACCAAAAAAATCCCACAAGGTCAGTCCAAGGTGAGCCATGCAGCTGATGGACTCCAGGAGCTATATTCATTGCTCAGAGCAGGAAGGTTCAGATCAATATACAGGAGTTGCAGTGCTTTTCTAACCCATACTCCTTCCCCCTAAGCGTTTCTGAGCTCTACCCTATACTACTTCACATCCTTCAACCCCGCTTTTCCCAGCTCCACAAGGATTTCCCTGAGCAGGATCTGCCAAACCAGGACGGTGTCTCTGTGATGATGACAAACATCTGGGAGAGCACGAAGGGAAGAGGCTGCCAAATTCTCCCTCTTGTGATTTGAAGGAGACTTGGCCTTCTCCCTACCATAACCCAGAGCTTTCTCTGGGTGGTGAAAGTGACAGCAGACATTCAGACAGGGCCCTGTCCTCTCTTACCCCAAAGGTACCTCATACACTCAACACTCTGCTGTCAGATTGAGGTCAAAATCACTGAAAAGCTGAACCCAGAGGTATCCAATTCTTGTCTAGACCACCAAAGAACTGGGCTACATGAAGAGCAGTGACACTGATGTGCTGCCTTGAGGGTCCCCATCCAGACATGCTGTATCTCCCAGCTGTGGCCAAGAAGACACTGTCCCACCATATTTCCCAACCCACGTCCTGAGACATTTCTGTCTCACATAGAAACATAGAACCATAGAATGGTTTGGGTTGGAAAGGACCTTAAGATCATCCAGTTCCAACCCCCCTGCTATGGGCAGGGACACCTCACACTAAACCATGGCACCCAAGGCTCTGTTCAACCTGGCCTTGAGCACTGCCAGGGATGGAGCATTCACAACTTCACTGGGCACCCTGTGCCAGCACCTCAGCACCGTCAGGGAACAATTTCTTCCTTATATCCAACCTGAACTTCCCCTGTGTTAGTTTGAACCCATTCTCTCTTGTCCTATTGCTACACGATGGACATGGAGTTACCAATGAAGTTTTAGGATATAGGAACACAAGGCAGAAAGGAATTTCTTCCCAAGAAGGAAAGGGACATCATTTCTCCATGTCACACAGCAGGAGACCAAAGAGGACATGGTGTAGCCTCTTTCCCGCTTCACACAGCCAGGTTTTCTAACATGGGAAAGCCAACCCCTTCATGCCATTTTTGTGAGCAAAAACTTTCACCCTCCCATCAAACACCATCCCATAAAGGTACCAAGAGCTAGAAGCAGGCAGAGGGAGATTTTAAGCCAACCCACCAGCAAATAACTCAGTCCTTAAACTGAAGAAGGGACTTTGGTTAATTGCATTGCTCCTCAGCCATTCATCTGCAAGGGGATTTCTCACTTAACCTGGTGGCTTATTCTGGGGCCTGAGGGATTGTTTGTGGCATTTTGCCCACTGAGCTCTTTGCAAATGGCTTTCTGGAGAGGCAAAAGTCAGGGGGAAAAATCATTCCTCTCCATTTCTCAGCAGGAAAAGCCAGGGATGATCAATGGACAAACCTCTGCAGTGTTCTGCCAGGCTGGCTGGGGTCAGCAACCCCAGAGGATGCAGCACAGCTACTGTCTTGCTATGCCTTCATTTTCTCTCTCCAGTCGACAGCAGACAAAACACAGGGCTTCTGAAGCTGACAGCCAGCCAAAGGGCTGCTTCTTCCACTGCTGGAAAGGCTCTGACTACATCAAGAGCCATAGGTTAACCTTAGACATTGTTAAACACCTCAAAACCCTAATACATCAGGACCCAAGGGTCATAACATAATGGTCATCCATGTCTCAGGGTTAGCCCTTCCACACTACTACTACTACGACTACAACAACAACAACAACAACAACTACTACTACTACTACTACTACTACTACTACTACTGAATTGCACTCTGAATTTATGGCAGCAAGCCAAGTTACCTTTCATCTTTCTGAAGTGTTCATGTCACTTTTCATCTGTCCCAGCCACAAAATGAAGTGTGACAACCCAAGTCTTGTGTTTTAAGCCACAAATAGGTGCTCAAGTAATGCAGTTGCCTTCATCCTGCATGAGACACCCCTATGGGAGCTCCTTCTCATCATGGTTTGCATCACTCCAGACAGGATTGCTTGTCTTTGCAGTCATGAGCTTTAGGTCATCACTGCTTGAACTAGAAGTTTCCATTTTGGTCCATAAATCCAAGCCAAAACCGTAACTTGTCCCTTTCTTAAGATCTCCTGTGTAACTCCTCACTGTGATCCCATGGGAGAGAGAAGCGTAATTGTCCTACATTCAGCTCTGGGGTCCCAAACAGAAGAAGGACGTGGAGCTGTTGGAGCGAGGCCAGAGGAGGCCATGGAGCTGCTGCGAGGGCTGGAGCAGCTCTGCTCTGGAGCCAGGCTGAGAGAGCTGGGCTGGGGCAGCCTGGAGAAGAGAAGGCTCCTCAAGGGGAGACCTGAGAGCAGCTCCAGTGCCTAAAGGGGCTGCAGGAAAGCTGGAGAGGGGCTTGGGACAAGGGCCTGTAGGGACAGGCCAAGGGGAATGGCTTGAACCTGCCCGAGGGGAGACTGAGCTGAGCTCTTAGGCAGAAGCTCTTCCCTGTGAGGGTGCTGAGGCGCTGGCACAGGGTGCCCAGAGAAGCTGTGGCTGCCCCATCCCTGGCAGTGCTCAAGGCCAGGTTGGACACAGGGGCTTGGAACAAGCTGCTCTAGCGGAAGCTTCAGGGTCCCTTCCAGCCCAAACCAATCTGGGATTCTATGAAACTGAGACAGAAAAGGTAAAGAAATCTGAAAAAATCCCTGGAAATGCTCTGGGGTACTTGGTTCCTTTTATTTCATTAGAGAGGTGCCAATACAAATGAAACCTGCTGGTTACTCAGCTCCTTTGAAGTTTAAGCTATGTCACTGGGGGGGTCCTACCTCTTAAGCTTCCAGCTTTGAACATTCTTGCTTCATTGACACATCCATGGCTGAACAGGGAACCGTCAGAGCAAGCAGGAGCTCCTGACTCCCACACCATGGTGTGCAGATCAGAGCATCCTGCATCCATTCTGCAGCCAAAGCTGCACCTCCTTCCCAGCTGTCCACCCTCTGCAAAGCAATGGGAATTGCTTGTAAATCTGAGCCTTGCATTTGGCCTGACACCCATTGAACTGGAGTGCTGACTCCAAAGAACACTCTTATGGCTGGAAAGACAGCTTTCCTAACCATTTCCAGTGAGGACACTGGTGAAAGTGAAACTCAATACAAAGCAGATGCTGCTCATAACCAAATCCCCCAGATGATATTATCTCATCTCACAGCCAGTAGCTTTTATTTGTTGGTGATGCTCCGGTGTTCTTCTCCTTTCCTTGTTTTCCCTGTAGATCAATAACCATGTCTTATCCCTGTTTTCTCTTAGATAGAAGCCAGTTACCTTACTTCAGACACAAAATGTGTATTTCCATCCTCACCTTTTCCCTCTCCTCCTTGCTTGCAGTCATCCTCCAGCAGTTTGGCTACTGCATTTTCTGATCTCCTTATACCATTGCGGCAATAATGATGCTCCTGCCCCTGCAACCACCATGAATAAAATATAGAAGTGAGTTTAGAAACTTACATAGCAAATACACGGGGAATTTGGAGCGTTACATTAGTGACTTAATGCCTTTAAGGTGAATTTGGCGAGTCTTTGAAGGCTATTTACCTGTGCACTTGAACTTTGGCTTTCTTCCTCTCTTCATGTCTCCCAGGCATAGATATCACCTCATAAACATCTCACACCACAGCAAAGATTTCTTTTCATACAGCAAAACACCCGGAAGACACGTGTGACCTCACACCTCGCTTTCGGCAGGGGTATTCATGCAATCAGGTTTTCATGCAGACTGAAGCAGGGGTAAGGATAGCATTTAATGAAGCGCATCACATATACAGCCTCTTAGACCGTCTTGTTATCATGCCCAGCTAAGTCACTGGGCTCTGGTCCCTTGGCAGTAGATGCTGAGATGCTAGGAGTTTCCCAGTTGAAGCTGGGCAGCCCGGCATCCCATCATCTGGGTCTGCAGTGTCTCCAGTCATCTCAAACCTTGTGCTTTGCCTCATGCAATCAAGCCTGGTTTCAAAAGTCTTGGTACCATTCTCTGGTCCAAGCCATCCTAACATGAAGAGGGAGGGAAATATCTTTCCTCTCCCCAAAGAGTGAGATCTTTGGGATTTTGGCCAGCAGCTCAGGGAGGGGATCCTGCCCCTCTGCTGTGCCCTGGGGAGACCCCTCCTGCAGCCCTGATCCAGCTCTGGGGCAGGAGCACAAGAGGGACGTGGAGCTGTTGGAGCGAGGCCAGAGGAGGCCATGGAGCTGCTGCGAGGGCTGGAGCAGCCCTGCTCTGGAGCCAGGCTGAGAGAGCTGGGCTGGGGCAGCCTGGAGAAGAGAAGGCTCCTGAAGGGGAGACCTTAGAGCAGCTCCAGTGCCTAAAGGGCTGCAGGAAAGCTGGAGAGGGGCTTGGGACAAGGGCCTGTAGGGACAGGCCAGGGGGGTATGGGTTTAAACTTAAACAAGGGAGATTTAGATTGGATATTAGAAACCTGCTCTAGTGGAAGGTGGCCCTGCCCATGGCAGGGGTTGGAGCTGGATGAGCTTCAAGGTCCCTTCCAACCCATACAGTTATATGGTGCAGTGATTCTATGATGTGTGTCATCTTTGGAAGCTCTGGAGTTCTGGTTAAAGTACAGGGAGCACCCTAACCATGAAATCACTCTGGGAGGTATGGCATTGTGAAAAAGAGGAGGTTCACTAGGACCAGTCCTACACTATAAAGAAGCAGCCATCCAGACCAGTTCAAGATGCAGATGGGAAATGACTGTATCACGTGCAGAGCAGAGGATGCCTCCATGCCCATGGGCACTGCATTTTACCAGCTTGTTTAGATAGGGTCATGATAGACTCAGGTTAAAACTTGGGTTGAAAATCATTCCATCAGGAACTCCTTAGTCAATAACAACTTGCAGGGAATGGAAGGAGCCATTTCCAGCTACAAGTTCATGCAGGGAAACTGAGACCCAAAATATCTCAGTGTAGGGAGAAGGGTGCATCACCTTTTATCAGTATTCACAGCTGATTAATTGATTGAATGCTGAGGATATCCCACTTGACTTTGAACTTTTCTTTGTCTTATCTACACATCCAGTGCCTGCCAAAGGGGCATTTTTGTCTAACAGGGTTGCTGCTATGGGGGTCACATCTTAAAAGTGATGGCCAGAGGCGTTGATTGAAGAGACACAGCACAAGGTCCATGCCAGAAGGTTATCTGCTGCTGACACTGCCCCTGCAAGGCTTGTGCTCGAACCTTCCCCATCACCCACCGGACCTCTGCACTTCCCAGAATCATTGAGGACTTCTCATATTTGCAGTTGATTTGCCGACAATCTCCTCTTGCTCCAAACAAGCACAAATGAAAGGAGGAACCAAGTTCAGCCTGGATAGGCCATAAACCTGCTTCCACCAAAGGAAAACCTGTCCCGCAGGAATAACATTGTCCAGAGGAGGATGACTGATGAAAACTGAAATCTCCCTGGAGAGCCACTCCAAGTTTCTTTTTTATGCCCTTATCTTGCTATTAAAGGTGCTGTCTCACCCTGTGCTTGGTCTCCCATAGCTGAGCCTTTCTTCCAGACCCACATTAAGCTGCTCCTGGCAAATCCATCCCATCATTTCCTTTATGCCCTTCCTTTCTCAGGCTGTAACACAGAAAAGGTGTGTGTGCGTGGAGGTTTCCCATCAAAATATCCTCTGTCAAATGCACTTCACATGTAACGTTGCTGACACAAATCAGGGCTGGAGGAATGTCATTGAAGTCAATCCTTTTGTTTGGAAGGGGAAATCCAATAAATTCTCTGGCAGCTGGGTTGGGTGTTCAAGGATAGGGGTTTCTTTTCTATCTTTGCTTGTAATATCAGGCATTCTTCCAGCCCCATTCACCTCTAATGGCAATTTCTTCCTTTTACACCTTTTTCTGTTCCTTTCATGTTTTATTTTGGAGGCAAACACTAGCAAACAAACAAACAAAAAAAGCCCCACAAAAATCCTTTGGAACGTAATTGATGGACCCAAATGATTTAATTTGGCCTGGAAGCCACACTGAACAAACAAGTTCAAAAGACACCAGCGAAATCGGCGTTGACCCTTATAAATAGCTTAGTTGGAACAAAGCAAGGTTGGCAGAGACAGGCTCCTTGATGTTAGCCGAGGGTCTGTCCCACCTGATGCCGTGTTATTTTGCTTTCAAACAACATGTGAACAGACCACACAAGTACCAGGAGAGCTGGAGGGTGGCAGGGGATTAACTGCAAACAACCAGCCGGGGCCACTGATTTACACTCAGCAGCCTGAGCTGTGCCCTGCAATAGAGCAACAGAACACATGAGAACCAGCAGTGAGTGCTCACAGGCTATTAAAGGGGACACAAGGACCCCCCTCACACTGAATACCTCATTCTTTAATTACAACATGACAAGAGAAGTGACATGAGCCTATTATTTGGTTTTTAAGATCCTGTTCCCGTCTATAGCAGATGCATTTGTTCTGGGACGATTGACTGCGCTTTGTTTCTGCACTCAGCTTTTGCTCCTCTGCACCTGGGGTGCTCTTTCATTAGCAGTTTTGAGACTAATTTAGCCAAGTTTTGAATCCTTTCAAAGGGCAAATCTCTTGGCAAAAGTGTTTTTTTAAATAGATACCTCCTAAACTATCTGAAACTACCAATTATAGCACAGACATAATGAGTGGTTAAAGGGGAATATTCCCTGTGTCGCTTTGCAGTGCTCGTTTTCAGCTCACAAGGGGAATGCAGGCTGATCACCACCACTTTTCTTCTGGCTGGTTTCCAGTTGCCTTCACTTTCGTTTATATTCAGTTTCCACGTTTTCTATGGTTTCTCATAAGCTGGCTTAAGCAAGGCCACAAAATAAGGCCTGAAATTGCAAGTGAAGAAAGAACCACTGAGATACAGGAAAACGTAATAGCAAAATTACATGTGCCTGAGTTTCTTAGGGCTATAGTGACTTTATATGGTGTGGATAGCCATTCAGTGAACACATTATGCCAGCACTGCCCTAGAGAGCAGCAGTCCTTTGCTCCTCTTGCCATGGATCCTATCCCCTTATTCCTCCCCATTGGCTCTCTGGGGCCACCACAACCATTTATGTCATGACAGGGATTGATATTCCTGCAAAACAGCTTAGGAAGTCTCCATTTAAATAGAGCTTGGTTGCCTGACCTGGTGCAACACCCAGAACTGCTTGTTGTGGGGCAGGAGGTGGTGAGGTGACACCCCACAGTGGTGACAGCTTCTGACAGCTCATCATGTTCATTGAAATGTGGCCTTAAAACCTTCCAGGATATGAAGGACTCTTATTATCCTTGTTCCACAAGACAGCACAAGAGAAAGGATAAGGTGATGGTTACACCATGCAGACCTTTAAATGTGAATTCACAGGGCAGCCCTGAAGTGAGACGTGAATCAGAACTTCTCATATGGGATTCATCCATCTTTACCAGGTTGTTTGAGAGCCTTGAGTGGGACAATGCCGAAGACTCATGTATTCCATGCAAAGGAGAAATTAACCTGATTTAAGCCCAGACACAGAACAATTATCCTAAAAAGGGTTGCACTTTGGTCCTAAAAAGCATCTTCTCACCCTCAAATCATGGGCTTACTACATGCAGAAAAAGTATATCAAGGGAATCTAGCAGAAAGATGCCACAATCATGTACATGTGCATAAACATATATAGAGAGAAAACACATCAATAAGAAGCAGCATAACAAGTCTCTGCAGCCATCAAGTCTGTGATGATTAAAAGCCATCACTTCCCCCCCTTGCCCTACTGCCCCCACAATTTGCTGAAGCCCCAGTGGTCATTACTCACTGAAAACTACACAGCTGGATAAACTCAGTGATCAGACAGGTCTTTCCTATTTCTAATGGGAATCCTCCCTGAACTCTGGCCTGCCCGGGGTAGCCTGGGGAGAAATTAACTGATTAAAAAAGTCCAAAGGGAGCTGCAAATGGGAAGAGTTTCATTCTTCTAAATGCAGTTGGCAATGCATCATGTTAGTGAGTTATCACAAGACGCTGCATGACCAGAATAGCCCATTAAAGCATCTCCTTCCTCCAATTCATTGTCTGGCCCAGGTTCTATATGCCCTGAGCTGGGGGGAGCAATGCCTCTCCAGTGTCTGTCCCCAGGAAGGTCAGGCTGGGTTAACCCAAAGCAGAACAACAGAACAAACACATAGGATAGGATAGGATAGGATAGGATAGGATAGGATAGGATAGGATAGGATAGGATAGGATAGGATAGGATAGGATAGGATAGGATAGGATAGGATAGATGTGGGCAGCATAGAAGTACTTTATGCGTGGACAGCATTTGCCTTACTTTGCTTCTGAGTACAGTGAGTTTGGTTTTATGCATGCTGCCCCCTCCCTGCTCAGTCTTCCCCTTCAGTGCACAGAATGCATTGAACTCCCGTTAGAGCCGAGACCTGGCATGCTTCGCACTGTCACTCCAGGGGGATTCATGGTGGTGAAATCCATCTTACTTGGTTTTCCAGACCCCATGCCTGAAGACATCTCCATCTGAGCTGCAGATCCCACGCTCCTCAGGCATTAGAGTCAAGAGAGGAAAACAGGCACTTCTGTGGTGCAATTTGTCTCAGCCTCATGTAGACATTTCTATGAGGTCAGAACCATGCTCTGCTTCTCTTCACTGACTATAAAGGGAGCCTGGGGTGGCTAGCTTGCATGGAGGCCTCTTTCATAGATGCCTATGTTAGGTGAGATTAGTTCTTTGTTTGCATGGAAGTAAAGGGATGCTGGGGATGGACTCTTCATTAGGGACTGTAGTGACAGGACAAGGGGTGATGGGTTAAAACTGAAACAGGGGAAGTTTAGATTGGATATAAGGAGGAAATTCTTTCCTGTTAGGGTGGTGAGGCACTGGAATGGGTTGCCCAGGGAGGCTGTGAATGCTCCATCTCTGGCAGTGTTCAAGGCCAGGTTGAACAGAGCCTTGGGTGCCATGGTTTAGCGTGAGGTGTCCTTGCCCATGTCAGGGGGGTTGGAACTGGGTGATCTTAAGGTCCTTTCCAACCCTAACTGTTGTATGATTCTATGAAAGCACCCAGTTTTATGTCAGAGCTTTGATTATTGAGCATTACTTGCAAATCTACTTCTTTGTCCCTCTCTCACATCACCTGCAGAAGGGCTCTGATAGAGGTTAATCAACCTGCTGTAATTTTGATAAGCCTGGATAGCATCAGACCCTTTTGATATCTTCTTTGGCAATTCAGCCCAGGAACTTTGCCCCATCCCTGGAAACATTCACAGCCAGGTTGAATGGGGCTCTGAGCAATGTGATCCAGCTGAAGATGTCCCTGCTCATTACAAGAAGGTTGGAACATCCTTCTTGGACATCTAAAGTTCCCTTCCAACCCAAACCAGCCTATTCTATGTTTCTATGACTTGCAGCAAGCATGGGAGCCCTGTTGGGTCAAGGAAAAGCTTTGTTGCAGAAAGATGCTGTGTAGATCAAGCAAAGAGCAGGCCATGGGCAGACTCTGCTTTGAGCACATGCATGCTGGGGATTCAATGTCCTTTGCTGAGCATGACCCACCATCCGTTTGGTAATGACAAGGTGCAAATGCTGTCAACCTCGACACAAAGCTCTGAGTGTCTTAATGTAGCTCCAGTGGCCTGCACAAACCAAGTGGAAGAATGATGAGAAGCCCCAGGCAGCATGAAATCCACAGACACACAGTGCTAAACCGAAACACCGCCACGCTGCTAATGCAGATGTCAAAACAAAGTGTGAGCTCTGGGATTCATCTTTTGCCAGTTCAGTGCAAACAATTTGGCTCACGGAAATGAAGCGAGGAAGTCTAACTTCAAACATGTCCAGGGAATGAGTGGGAATGTGGATGACATCCAGCTCTTTTGAACTTGGTTGATGTTCGCAAAATGAGGGACTGATAGTCACTGGGTAACTATGGAGGACACCGGTATTCATTGTGCTGCTCATCTAGAAGGTGTGACTGGTGTAATAACACATCTCCTGGTGATGAAATGAACATGAAAGGGTATTTAATGCATATTATTGAACCCCAGCCTGGTTTGTGTTGGAGGGGACCTTCAAGCTCCTCCAGCTCCAACCCCTGCCATGGGCAGGGACCCCTTCCACTGGAGCAGCTTGCTCCAAGCCCCTGTGTCCAACCTGGCTTTGAGCACTGCCAGGGATGGGGCAGCCACAGCTTCTCTGGGCACCCTGTGCCAGCGCCTCAGCACCCTCACAGGGAAGAGCTTCTGCCTAAGAGCTCAGCTCAGTCTCCCCTCGGGCAGGTTCAAGCCATTCCCCTTGGCCTGGCCCTACAGGCCCTTGTCCCAAGCCCCTCTCCAGCTTTCCTGCAGCCCCTTTAGGCACTGGAGCTGCTCTAAGGTCTCCCCTTCAGGAGCCTTCTCCAGG